CTCTGGACAGTCTTGCTGGAAGGTTCTTGGCATTCTCTATGGTGGAGCTCAAGGTATGTGATACTGTGGGGACCTGGTACCTGCAGACCATCCCTCCTGAGGGTTGAAGGGCCCACCGGTACCAGTTGCCACCATGGGCACTGAAACAAGCCCATTCCTCCTAGCGCAGGTGTTCTCAGTCTCCTGGGGCTGTTTGTGCTGGGCCCCTTGGTACTCCCTGCACCCTGAGGGGCGCACAGCTGGCTTGCAGGCTGCCCTCCACATCTGTTCTGCAGCCTGGGTGTTGCCACAGCTGAGCATGACGCAGACACATGGAACACCTCTTGGAGCCTTGCTCACTTTCACCCCCAAGGCGCTCAATCTGGGTTTTGGTGAAAGGGTGGTAAACATTCGTTTTGGGTCCAGGAAAAGCAAGGCAGAATGGGGATGGGCTTAGTCTAGACACAAAGCAATGGACAGTTTATTTATTTATTTATTTATTTATTTATTTATTTATTTATTTATTAAAACGTTTTTTTTGACAGTTTAACCTAGCAATGGACAGTTTAACCTAGCACATCAGTGAAAACAAGAAACAAATATTGTCTAGGAAGCACAGCCCTGTGCTAAACCCCTGCAGGGTTCCTTAAGCATCTGCTATGTCCATAGCAAAGCTCTTCTGGTGCCTGTTTCAGGTCTTCCACCCTTTGGGGGGAGAAAAGCAACACCTGGGAGCCAAGAGTGCAGACGATTTGGACCACTGCTCCTGGCCCTGTCTCAGCTCCCAGGACTTTCTCCCAGCACCCATTCTGAGAGAGGAAAGCACCCTCACACGCGTTCTTTTTCAGGGGACTAGATGTCCTCTGTTCTTTCCCCTCTCACCAGCAGCCTGACTCTGCTGACTGTCCAGTGACAGCTCACTCTCAGCTCTGGGATGGATGCTGGAAGATTCTTATTGTTCAGGCGTCTGGACATTTTACTGCTGAATAGATTGGCTAAGTGGAAGCCCTGGGCCTACCGATCATCTCAGCCAGGCCATCTGCATTGGACCTGGATTAGATGGAATCAGTATGGCCTGGCTGAGTGGCTACTCCAAGCTGACCAGAAGAGATAAGGTGGAGAAACAAAAGAAGGCAAAACGGAGTGGATGGGAAAGGGCTGTCATTTCAAGGAGAAAGGAAATACGGCACTCTTCCTGTTGGTGCAGAATCTCAGGTCCATGGGCCAAGAGACGTCCCAGAACATCATGCTCCACTGAAGAGTCATCCTTTGATGAAGCTGTCAAGCCTCAGGACCTGCCAGGGCCGGAGCAACCAGACAGCCTGCGTCCTCAGCACTGTGTGTCCAGAACCCACCCCTGCAAAAGGAAAGGGGAATCCACTCCAAAGTCAGCATGGAGAGATTCCCAAGCCCCTGGGAGCAGGGGGACCGGACAGGCAGGCCAGATTCCACGAGCCAAGGAGAAGTGTTTGGAGGCAGCAGAGGATTCCTGGAGACTACATGGGCCCCTCAAGAGAAGATGCTTTCCAGAAGCCATTGATAAGCTGCAGATGGATGCCAGACAGGATTCTTACAGCTTTTGCTGAACACTTTGGAGTTGGAAGAGTTGCTGGAAACAATGCTGTCCTTTCAGTTCCAAGGCCTTGTGCCTGGTTATCTTGACTTTCCTAAGCTTGATCCCTGACTGGGCTGAAAATGTTGTGCATGACCGTTTGACTGCTTCATTGCTTGTCTTTGGCATTGCTCCACAGTTTGTATTAATGCTGAGTTCAACCAGCCATAACTGGTCATGAGGTCCAAATCCAGTCCTTTGCAATCCCCCAGAAAACCTTGCCCTGTCCACTTTTCCTCAGCTATCACTAATTGATACCTGCCATTTCTACAGTCACTTCTTCCTGGCCCTATTCCATTTTAATTCCATTCTAAAAAGTGGAATTCGCCACTGGCTATTTGAGTTCTTAAACTAAAATATGCTAGTAAGTTTGGTTCTTTGTTCCCTTCCCTTTTAAATTTAGCCCCAGCCTGTGTTTCCTTCATTCCCTTCCACCCCTGAATGTGCTAAGAGCTTCTCCAAAATTGAACTTGTCTTTTGAAATGGAATGAGTTTACCAGCTGTGTCCTTGCATCCGACAGTTGCCATTTTATTAACTCTTTGTCCCCTTAGATTGACATTATATGATGACATATTACAAAGGGACTTGAAGGTAATAAAACTAGCAATTCCCAGGCAGTTGGGAGACTGCTTCTACCACCACCAAAAAAATTTGTCTCCTCCCCAGACCAAAAAAAGATAGGTGAGCTTGGGGTTTAAGGTTCACTTGCTTTTACCTCCTATACCCATTTTGAGTGAAAGTTATTTACCAATAGCTCTCATCTCTTCCTTCACTCACATCAGAAATTCTAATTGTGCCAGAAAATAAACTGGGAGTCAGTAGCTCAGAAGACATCATTTTGCACTCCGGTTTAACAAGCTTCTTAACGAGGCAAAGATCTTTTTTCTTCTCCCAAATGTAATTGCTTAAAGAGTCATTATTGACCTGGTAGTCAAAAACACTGGAGGGGCCAAAACCATTGACTGGGTCTTTGGCCATCATAAACGAGGAAGACGGAGACCCAAATGTTCATGACTATGGTCACCGCATTGTGGGTGGACTATTAATGGAAGCGGCCCATTAAGTTTTGCAAGTTCTGTGCTCTCATTTTTAATACGCAAATTATTCATCTGCAGCTATCATCTATGAAGGCATTTGTAGAGCCATTAGGAGTCTACAGTGTAAATACTTTTCTAATAATGTGAAAGTAGACTGAGTTAGAGATGTTTACGCTCAAGAATACCTTCAGCACTTCTCTCCATATTTAGCAGAAAGCCGAGACATTTTCTTTCCTTGTGTAAATGTTCAGCGTGAAACAACGGGAGCAAAAGTGGCTGGGAAGGTCACCCAAGGTCAGGGCTGTGGTACCCCAGCGTGTTTCATTGTGCTTGGATTACTTGCAGCTATTATTGAATGAGTATAAAATGTATAAAATACAGATTTTATGTTTCCCCAGAATGTGTAGGGAGAGGACGGCACATTGCCATGTTTAGTTTGTATTTAGAATAACATTTTGACCAGAGAGAGAGAGAAAGAGAGAGAGAGAGAATGTAGCTACATAGATTTGAATATCAGTTTCAACGCATACATACAATGTTTGTGTGTGCGCATAAAAATACAGGGTTCTAAGAACTATGCAGAAAACTCCACAAAAGAGGAAACATTCTCTTCTTTCTTAGTGACCCAGAGCAGTTGTGCCCACAAAGACAGGGAAAACAGTGAGGGAGGTGACCTTCCATGAGGTCTAGATCACCCTTCCCCAACCTGATGGCCTTCAGAGACATTTGGACCACAGCTTCCAGAATTCCCATCCAGCAGGGCCATTGACTGGGAATTCTGGGTATTGTAGTCCAAAAATGTCTGGAAGGCACAAGGTTGAGGAAGGCTGGTCTAGACAATACGATAACTGGAAATGTAGGGGAATGTCAGTGTATTATATTACTGCTCATGCTCACTATCTGTTCTAGCACATTAATCCAGGCTAGGGTTGGGATGAAACTCTGTGGAAGGCATCCCTCTGGCATTCACAGACTTCCTCTCATGCTTGGTCTGGTCTTAGAAAATAAGCCAAGCCAAGAGACAGTTCGCAAATGCTTGTAAGCACAACCTGGAACCTTCTTCTGCTGCAGCACAAGCAACGGCTGCCGAACATGGCGCAAGAGAGGGATGCTCCTTGCACAGTGCGAAGGTCTCAGTTCTTGACGAGTGCCCCATGGATGCTCAATACGCCCACCAGGAATGCAGACTTCGGGCTGCAACAAAGTCCATGGAGCTGAGCCTTGGAAATCTGATGGCTCCCCACACGTTGCTAATCCAGGCAATGAACTTAAGGTGAACTTTATGAATGGATGAGCTTCAGCCAATGAGCTGATGCATTTGGTGGCATCACTATACAGAACACGGATGTTGGAATATCTTGGGGAAAACCAAATGGGGGCAAGAGAGGGGTCAGGGAAGGAAGAGGAGCAGCCAGCATCCACAGGATCCTGATGTCTCCTGGTTGCCCATCATGCCCATGACCAGAAAGGAAAGGAAAAGTGGAAGATATTTTCACTTCTCTCCTGCTGAGATCACCGAGCCCTTTGTCTATGGACTGGCAATCCCATGGGATCGAGTCCTAATTCTGCTTCCATTCCCAACAGCCCTGGACTCAGCCTGGTTCTCCCTAGAACCCCCAAGTTCAGTTTCCCTTCCCACCCCACAAAAGGACCTCTTGCATCTAAAGTCTGTTGCTCTAAGGCCAGCCCACCTTTATTAGCTGACCTTTGATCAAGCTCAAGTTAGTTATTTCATCGGTTAACGGTCTGGCAAATGTTACTTAGGAAAAAGAAATTAAAGACTGAGAATGCCAGCAGATTAGTGCAATTAAAGTGGGTTTCTAACCTTTGATGAAACATATCAAAGGCTGGCTCAGTTTCCCGAATAAGATGAAGAGAGTGCCCAAAAAGTACTAATGAAAGATACACTTATTTTAATATATCAGCACACACCTTCAGGATGCTGAGAAGTTAACCAGATTTTTTTTTTCTGGCTGTGATACTGCACATTAATTTCAGATGCATCCATAAGGCCCCCACTCCATAATTTCATTGAAGTATACTTAGAGTCCCTCCTTTTCTGAAAACAGTACATTAGATTATGTTTCTGACTACTTCAAAACAACCCTGTTTTCTTGCTCAAAGTCATGGTTCTGCAAGGCTTTCCATTTCCAGGGAGGCATTGCAACAGATGTACCCCCAAATTATTTTCTATTAAAAATAAAGAAAAAGAAACAATGGACTCTTAACACATACTTCTTAAAATAAAGCACAGCAATTCATGTACACTTCATAATGCTAGTTCAACTGGTTTACATTACTGTCTGGGTGTCTGTTGCCATGTGCTTGCATGAAAGAGCTCTAGATCTCCAGGGAAAGATTTGGTTTCCACATCTGTCTTCATGGTGACATCAAGAAATGTCTTCTTTCTGTGGCATCACAGGGTGAGCAGCAGAGAAAATGTCCATATCCCTTCACGGCGCCACCAGTTCAGTGTGGTGTCCCACATTCCACTTTTGGTGATCAAGTACGCAGAGATCCATGGATGCTCATGCATGTTTCTTAGCTAACACTATGACAAATGACTCCACCTAGATATTTTGGTCAAGTTTAGAATGGAAGGAACCAAAAGAAGTTGCAGCTGAAAATTCATAGGAAGGCATGGGAACTCGGAGACCATCCTCAGGGTGGAGAGCTTCAGTGCTCACCTTACTGTGAAGAGAGGGCTAAGTGGAGTGGGCATGCTCTTTATTTTTCAGGACTATTACCCTGTTCTGACTTCCTGGAAAGGCTCCTACAGGACTTCCTCACTTCGGGTCTTCCAGGGCTGTTGGGAATGGAGGTAGAATTAGAACTCGATCCCAAGGGATTGCCAGTCCGTAGACAAAGGGCTCTGTGATCTCAGCAGGAGAGAAGTGAAAACATCTTCCACTTTTCTTTACAGTTGTGGGTAGGATGGCCAACCAGGAGACATCAGGATCCTGTGGATGCTGGCCACTCCTCTCCTCTTCCTGAACCCTCTCTTGCCCCCTTTGGCTTGGGGACTCAACCCCCAAATGGCAGCCTCCTTGCCACTGGGTGTAGGCAAGCAATTCGCACTCAGCTGCTGTCTGAACCAGCCCTACTTGTAGGGATGTGCGAGAAATCCATTTTATGCAGAAAGCTTGCTGGATTCCCAGCGTTTGGCTTCTGTTTGGCAGTCTGCTTTGCAGTGAGTCTGAGTTCCTGGGAAGCATGCCCAGATTTGCATGGCCCTCGCAGGAGTTCAGCCATTCCTCCATGCCTGTCTCTGCTGCCAGCAACAGGAAGCGGGGAGGAAGGCTGGCCAGCAGGACGGCAGCTGGTACACCTATTCGCTGCACCTCTTTTCCACGTGTGCCTTTTCTACATGCCTATCTGGATGGGCAGTGCCTGGCAGCGGTGATCCATGCACTGGTAACTTCCCAACTGGGCTGTAATGCGCTCTGTGTGGGGCTGCCCTTGAAGACAGTCTGGATACTTCAACTGGTTCAGAGTTGTCAGATTGTTAACAGGGACTGGCAGGTATGAACACATAACACCGGTCCCTTTCCACCTACACTGGCTACCAGTTGAAGTCCAGGCCCAATTTAAGGTGCTGGTGATGACCTATAAAGCCCTAAACAGCTTAGGGCCTCGTTACCGGAAGGAGCATCTCCTTCCATATGTGCCTGCCCACCCCTTAAGATCTGGGGCAAAGGCCCTTCTCTGGGAACCTTCCCTGACAACCTAGAGAAGGGCCTTCTCTGCAGTGGCGCTCCAAGTGTGGAATTCACTTCCCAGAGAGGTTCACCTGGCGCCATCACTTTATTCTTTTCAGTGCTAGGCTAAAACCTTTCTATTCTCCCAATGCTTTAAGATTTGATTGTTTTAATTGGGGTTTTATTGTTGGCTGGAAATTTTATTAGGACCCTGTGTTTTGTTTTATTTTATATTGTCTTGTTAAACCATCCCAAGAACATGGTAAGAGACAGTCTAGAAGAGTTTTAAATAAAATAAACACGCCACCACTGGCAGGAACAAGTGAGGAAGTGCGGTCACCAGGAATGGGGGCCGGCACCTCACCTAGCAACTCACCTCCTTGCATCCTGCAGCTGCTCCGGACAGGGCAGGTTGCTAGTTGCAAAGCCAGGTGTCTGGGAATGTTTTTGGACTTCCTTTTGGCTCAGCTCACTTTGCAGGACTGGGCTGAGCACAAGAGGAAGCCCACAGATTCCGAAGGGACAGGTTCTGAAAGGATTCACCCCAACCCTATTTCCCAGACCCAGCCCCCTGCCCTGGGCTGGCACGCAAAGATGGAGTGCAATGACCTTGTACCATATGACTTTTGTATTAGATGTTACAAAAAAGGGAAAACAAAAAGACAGGAAGGTGGCAGCAGCAGCTCTGTGTTTTCTTAAACTGGGTCCTGAGATAGTGAAATGTTTTCTTTATATTCTCACCTGTTAAAAACCAAACTGTTCATTTATCTTGATCATACCTGGTATCTTAGAGGTCTTAATTTGGTAGAGTCACTTTGTGCATCCACTGAGAGGGGTGAAATCTTATTTTATACTATTTTTGGCCATTACCATCCCAGAGAAGTTTGTGACTGAGTTTTTCTCCCAGAAATCAATCTTTCTGTAAAACATTTCACTGCCAGTTACCGATCGGTGGCTCCTATCTTAATCAATCATACTAGCTATCAGAAGTCACCATGGACTTGGGAATAGGGCTGAGGGCCTTGCCTAGTTTCTTTTTTCTCAGCACTCATCATTCCTCATTACTATAAGTAATAAATAATAATCACAAGAAGGCCAGTGTTGCCATTTCCACCCAGAAATGATTGTTGATCCAGTGAAATAAATCACAGCTTAAACCTTTTTCATTGTGGATCAGGCCTTTATATCAAATGCAGATGTTTATCAACTTCTGTGGAAAGAAACCTAGAAACAGAGTGAGACAGAAGGGGCTTCCCGGGCCGTCTAGTCTAACTCCAGCTCCAGCCAGATCCAGTAATCGCCAACATGTGGTTGTCCAGTCTTTCCTTGAATGCCCTCACTGATGGGGCTTCAACCTCCTCCCTTGGAAGCCCTTTCCATATCCTAGGAGTCCTAACTGTCAGGAAGGTCTTCCTGACTTCCAAATTGGAGCCTGGTTCCTTGAACTTTGTGCCACTGGAACACGTCCTGCCATCCACTGAAGGGAAGAGCAGGTCACAGCCCTCCTCCAAATGGCATCCCCTCACATACCTATGTCACTCAACAATCCCCCTCAAAGGCTGAAAAGACCCAGTTCCCTCAATCTCTCCTCATATGTCATCCCTCCCAACCCAGCTACCATTCCTGTGACCCTGCACTGAATGATTCTAACCTAGCTATGTCTCTCCTGTAATATGGAGCCCAGTACTGGATGCAGTACTCCAGCTGTGGGCGCACCAGAGTCATGTAGAGTGGTATCAACACCTCCCTAGATCTGGAAGCCACACTTCTGGCTATACATCCAAGGGTGGTGTTTGCCTTCTTAACTGCTGCATCACACTGCCAGATCATGTTCAGCCTGTTGTCGACAATAACCTGCGCTTCCTAATTAAAACCTTGTCCACCAGGGCTGCTCCTGGCATGTGAAAGAGTGAAGTGGCCTGCTTTGGGTCACGACATAGAAGTGATGGGGTAGATGAAGGTAGAGATTGTAGGCTGTATTACAGAGCAAGCCATTCGGGTGGTGCTGGCCTTCGAGTCCAGGTCTCCTCAAGCTTCTTGGTAAACCCATTTTGGCCTCATTTCTGTTGACATTCACCCTCGGAATTCGGTATTAGAGGTTACGAGCTGCCATGTTTCTCTTACCATTTCTCATCACCAGCATCAGAAGTGTACCCATATGAAATATTGGTATAGCCCAAAGAGGTAGGACTAGGAAAAGAGTGGGACAGTAAGAAACTGAAATCAAAAAGTGTGGGAAAGCTGAAGAGGCGGGAATTGCTGTTGCCACAAAGGCCTTGGCCAACTCGGTCTAGGGTTTTGAAGATTCTGTGCATAGAACTGATGCTTCTGAGTTGTGGATACTCAGACCAGTTGAAGAGGAACATTCTGGGGTCTTTTGTTTGAGTTTGGAGTCAAAAGGTCACTTGAACTTTGTGGCTGTACAGCCAGTTTTTGCATTGTCGCTGTTGCCAGGGACCTGGGGTGCACCGGTTGTAGTATTTTGTTATTATTATAATTGTTTGTGCTGTTTTGCTATATAATTGTTGATAAGAGGTTCATTTTGTATGTTGTGTTGCCATGTTCATTAGTAAACAAGTAGCCCCATAGAACTAACCAGTGTTACATAAGCAGATGCCAATAAGTAAAAATCAACATGCAGTGAGAAATGTAAGAGCAGTGGTGACTTAAGAAAGAATGCTATGGGATGGTGGGGCCAGGTGAAATACCTGTTTCCCAGGCCATAAATGTTGCCGTTTCATTCTGAGGGATCTAAGGCGACTAGGGGCATTCTCCACTTGAGTTGCCATTTACGCATTGGAAAACAGAGACACACAAAGCAGTTCAAAAGAGGGCTTCTACTGAGTACATTTGCTTATGAAAACATAATCAGCCATAACCATTTCATGGGTGGCCTTCTCGGTCATGAATATGTCCAATCCCCTTTTGAAGCCGTCCAGACTGGTGGCCATCGCTACTTCCCATGGCCAGGAGTTCCATAATAACTTTATGGATTGTGTGAAGAATTCTTTCCTTTTATCTGTCTAAAGGTTCCCACCCATCAGTTTCATGGGATGACCTTGGGTTCTAGTATTATAAGAGAGGAAGAAAAATCTCTCTCTCTCTCTCTCTCTCTCTCTCTCTCTCTCTCTCTCTCTCTCTTCCACACCATGCCTAATTTTAAACACCTCTATCACATCTACCTTTATGCACCTTTTCTAGGCTAAATAATTCCACTTTTTGTAACCATACCTCCTGCAGGAGTTGCTCCAACCCATTGATCATTTTAATTGCTTTCCTCTGCATTCACTAATATCCTTTTTCAGGCAAGATGGCTACAACTGCACGCAATATTCTAACAGTGGTCACATCAACGATTTGTTTAAGGGGAGCATAATCTTGGCAGTTTCGTTGTCAATTCTTTTTCTAATTCTGACAAACACGAAGTTTGCCTTTTTCACAGCAGCTGGGCCCTGGGCTGAAATGCATTCACCATCATGTGTGCCTTTGAACAAATGCACTTTAATCAGCAGAAGAGGAATATGTGCATTTAAAAAATTGGCACCATTTGTCTGCATGTGTTTCCAAAGAAATGCATGTGTTTTTGCATGCAAAGAAATAAAGAACAATTCACATGGTGCATCTCTTCTGCATCATTGTAAAAAACTTCTTAGTCTTCCCCACCATTTCTCCTTTTCCCACACAAACTCCCCCACCATTGCTTTGCTCTGCCAACAGACTAGAATGTATATTCCTCTTCCTTATACACCTGAGAAATAATGGTGCTGATCTTCCTGTAATATGTTTTGGGCCTTTTGGATATGAGCGCAGTTAAAAACAATTACATGTAGAAGCAAATCTTTTATTCCCACCATTGGATTCAACCACTCAGTAATCTTTGGAAATGGCTTTGGAAATGTTAAAGGCTTCTGCCAGCATAAATGCTACTCCAGTAAATTATTTGGGAGCTTTTCAGCAATGAAAAACCTATTAGCACAAGATATAATTGTATTTCAAGGGATTTAAACTATGACAGCATTGCCTATAACTATTGCACAAATGGGTATTAATCTTGGCCTTTGCCCATTAGAAGAATTTATATTTGTTTTCATGGATCATAAAAAAAAGAGAGCAGGACAGCTCTGTTAAGCCTGTTTGACCTTGCAAGAATTTATTCTGTTGTCATGATGCCTGTTCAAAGTTGATGAGTGGAAGCCGCGGAAAGGGAGAAATGTGTCTCTGCCACTCATTAGAGGCTGAGTCACCCAGTGAAATGGACGGACAGTTTATTCAGGACAGGCAGAAAAGAAGGTTTTGATTCTATGCGCAATAAATGTTGTTGGTGCTGTTAATGCTCCAGGGAAGGGCTTGAAATACAAACTCATCGCCATTCCCAGAATGTGTGCCCATTTTGAGCTGATCTTGTACCCCTTTGCAGCTGGGGCAGAGTTATATGTACATATATCTGCACAAGTGGGAAGACTTCCAGGGAAGATTTGCAGGTGGGAAAGAGGGCTAAGTGGGGAGACAGAGGGAGAAAAAAGTGCTGGTGGACCTCCACTGATGTCACCTAATATATGGGGTTTGTCTTCCACCCCAATCATGCCCGACCCTCACTTGGTAGCTCCTCCGCCCTCCTAGCTAGCTAAGGCAGTTACCTTTGCAGAGGGGAACATGGCGGCCAATGCATTTCCAGACACAGTACAAGGTGTTCGTAATTAGCTGTAAAGCCCTTCATGGCTTGGGTTCAAAATACCTTCAGGAGCACCTTTGCCCATGTATTCTGCCTCACCTGCTATGGTCCTCTGGGGATAACTCTCTGGAGTCTGCTTCTGCAAGATTAATGTCAACAATGGAGGTCTTTTAAGTGGTGGCGCCCAAACTGTGGAATGGCCTGGTAGGAGAGATGCATCAGATATCCCAGGTTGCTACTTTCAAGAGGAGTTAAAGATGTATCTCAACTGACATGTCTTCCTAGATTAGTTCCCAGATTAGTTTTATCTAATATTTATAATAATACTAATATTTTTTTGTTATTTTATATGCTTGTTTTTAGTCAGAATTGTAATTGTTGTTGGTTTTAATCTCTTGTAAATTGCCCAGAGCCTACAGGAATGGAACAGTATATTGAAAGATCAAAATAAATAAATAAATGTGGGGAGATGTCGGAGGAAGATTATGGACAGGGGCTTGTCTTTCTGACTCCAAGCTGAAAGTGGTGAAGCTCCAGTGAAGTCCCTGCCAGGAACTGAGTTCTTCCCTTCGAAAGGTAAGGAAGATTTTGCTATGGCAAAAAACCATATGGAAATTAAATGAAATAAATTATTATAAGTATTTTTCCATTGCTCACAGCAGCCCAGGACCCAGCAGTTCCATACCCCACGGGGTTGTTGTAGTGGGGATAAGATGGAGGAGAACAATGTATGCTGCCTTGAGCCCTTTGTAGGAAAAAGACAGGATATAAATTGAAAAATAAATAAAATAAATAAATAAAAGCACCATGTATGCAGGACTCCTATGTGCATGCAGAAAAATTCTTATATGTGCATGTGAGAAGTGACCCAGATAATTCTGTCCCAAGTGAAGAACAGGAATGCCTAAAATTCCATCCTCATAAAATGCAGAGCAACATGCTCTGGGTGACCCTGGAAGATGAGATGTGCAGCAGCAAAGTGCAAGGCAGACAGAAAGAAAACCAGTGCCCTGGGCCTTAAACCAGCAGGACCAGGATAAAATATTTCCTCCATATCAGAAATGCATGCATCCTGCAGAACGTGAGGGTCATCCTCAGGGAACGCCAATGAAACACCATTTCTCCAGGGCTAGAAGATGTGTTCTGCATGCAGGAGACCCCGATAAGATCTCCAGCTTCTCCAGTAGGGCTTGGAAAGACCCCTGCATGGAACCCTGGCGAACTTCTACTGATCCATGTTGCTAATGCTGGACTAGATGAACCAATCATCTGACTCAGGGTAGGACAGCATCCCATGAAGGAGGGATCAGGGCGCAAGAGAAAAGAGGCCCCAGGAGAGGCTGATGAGAGGCTAACTCTTGTTAGAGCACTTGTTCTTTTTGACTGACAAATTTATCCAACTGTTGTAGCATTTTGCTGTCTGAAAGAGAGATGAGGATGGAGACTGAGAGGAGTACAAGGTCAAGGGTCTCCAGTCTGCAAAAGCTGCTGATGGAATGCAAGTGATTCTTAAGGTGTTGGCTGAACAAACACCTCTTTCCCTGGAGAAATTGTTCATTCATAAGCTTTCATTCACTCCCAGCGTCAGATTCTGGAAATGACAAAATATGTTGCTGTGTGCTGATGACTCCATCTTGGGCCATCTGGTCCATGATTGTCTCCTTCCATGCTAGAGATCCCAGATGGAGGTCTTCCCTGCCCTTGTATGTGATATTTCCCAAATCTGAAAGCCTGGGAAGTAAGTATTCTTGAATGCAAAAAACAAAAAAGGAACCCTATGATATCCTAATCTCTTAAAGT